CCGCAATTATATTAATACTTTCACTTTTTTCTTTCTTTTTCTTTTTTTTTTTTTTTGGTTTCGAATCGATGCAAATATTTCTTTTTAAATTTCGTTTATTTTTATTTCTTTAACTTCTCTTATTTTAGGGGCAGGGAAAAGAGAGTAATAATAAGAATTGTTGATCTTTCGGAGTGGATATCCTTGAGAGTCCGTTCGACTCGACGATATCCAGAGAATTTCACTCTTGAATATAATCGTTTTATACGGACGACGAAATGGAATTTTCGAAAGTCTAGCGTTCTTCTTTATTTCTAATTTCTGCGAATTATCTACCATTAACAAGATTCTCTTACAAACATTTTCAAGTAACGCAAGATGTATTCAAAATATTTCCTTAATTTTTAATTCTCGTACGAACTCGAAAGTCGTCTTAACGCGAAAATTTACTTCACGGAATACAATTGCCTAATAATAATCTGAACACTCTCTCTCTCTATATATATATATATATACATATCAAGATACGATCTCAAAATCACGGGTACTCATTAAGTAATCGCGGATGGGAATAGAGAGGAAAAGAAAAAGAAAAAAAAACCTCTTTCAACGATCCGTTTTGTAAAATTAAAAAAGAAAGAAAGAAAGAAAGAGAAAACCGACAACAAAACGCTTTTACATACGACATCAAAACTCGCTAATTAAGCAATCGTATATAACGGAGACGAAGAAAACGAAAAAGTTTCTCCCGATTACTCCGCTCGCCGTATACGCTTATTACACGAGTTTTGAAACAAGAATGGGCTGGTAGAGGCAACTTTTCGTTTCTTTCTCGATAATCTTCTAACCGGCGGCGTCTGCATACTCCTCTCTCTCTCTCTCTCTCTCTCTCTCTCCGGGCGATGATAATGCACGGCGAAGAATAATCTAATGTAATACAGGACTTTTAACTCCCACCCGCTGTTTCACCTTATCTACCGGCCGATTACGTCGTAGGAAACTAATTGCCTAGATTAGCCTATTGCGGTGCGCTTGATTAAAAGCTGTGCAAGCGAACGAGAGGCAGCGTCCCGAGATCCTCCGCGCCTCTGGTCTCGCGATACCACGCTCCGTAATCGCTTCTACCCTCGCGCTCCAATATCTTGGCGACGCGCCGTTTTTCCGGATTCGTTTACGCCTATTACTCCTATCCAAGCGAAAATTATATCCAACGCGATTACGATGTACAATTCGCAAGGGATAAGATCTTAATGATTTCTTTAATGGAGGATGAATATTTGTATCGATATTTGCGTTGATCGTATTACGATTGATCGAGGAATCGCAAATATATCTTGATATCTTATTAGTCTATTCATTCGAAAGTTATATCTATTACGAAATTACGATGTAATTTATGGATAGGAGGAAAAAATAGGAGGAAAAAAGGTGACTAAAGTTTAATAAAATGAATATCAATATTTGTTAATCATCGAGGAATCGAAAATATCTTGACTATTATCCAAAACTTATATCGAGGCAATTATGATATTATTTAAGAAAAAGAAAAAAGTTTTTAAAGTTTTCTTTAATGGAGAACGAATATCAATATTAATCATCGAGGAATCGAAAATATCTTGACGCCTATTATCCAAAACTTATATCGAGGCAATTATGATATTATTCAAGGAGAAGAAAAAAGTTCTTAAAATTCTTTAATTGAGGACGAATATCACTATTTGTTAATCATCGAGGAATCGAAAATATCTTGACGCCTATTATCCAAAACTTATATCGAGGCAATTGCGATATTTTTCAAAAAGAAAAAAAGTTCTTAAAGTTTTCTTTATGGAGGAATATCAATATTAATCATANGGAATCGAAAATATCTTGACGCCTATTATCCAAAACTTATATCGAGGCAATTATGATATTATTCAAGGAGAAGAAAAAAGTTCTTAAAATTCTTTAATTGAGGACGAATATCAATATTTGTTAATCATCGAGGAATCGAAAATATCTTGACGCCTATTATCCAAAACTTATATCGAGGCAATTATGATATTATTCAAGGAGAAGAAAAAAGTTCTTAAAATTCTTTAATTGAGGACGAATATCAATATTTGTTAATCATCGAGGAATCGAAAATATCTTGACGCCTATTATCCAAAACTTATATCGAGGCAATTATGATATTATTTAAGGAGAAAAAAAAAAGTTTTTAAAGTTTTCTTTAACGGAGGACGAATATCAATATTTGTTAATCGTATGTCGAGGAATCGAAAATTTAGCGCTCGAATCGTGACTATTTTTATAGATTCGTTTACGCTTATTACTTTTCCACGTGAAAATTACATCGACGGGAAAATTAGAATAGGGGAGAGGAAAATTAAAGATGAATGATTCTTGATGAAACTTTCTTTAACGGGAACATTAATTTCTCTAAATGCACTCTTAGATTGGAACTTTATCGGAAAGTGATTAATTCTAGCCGAATAAGTATCTTCGATATCCAATAAACGTATTCCACTTCTCCACGCACGAGAAGCCTTCCAAAACTGTTCCAAAAAAGCGGTTTACACATTGGAAAGGCGTTTGAAAACGGAGTAATGGTCGAAAGTATGGGGGAGACGAGTGTCGCCACGAGGCGAAATGCGGAGAGGATGGAGAGAGAATTGTGTTAACAGCGGTGACAAGGAATAAGTTGGGCAAACATCGGCGCGATCCTCAAATATCGGCGGCGTCCTCTTTGATCGTGCGGTGCGCCGTTAGACACTCGCGCGAGTCCACTCTTTGCTCTCTCTCACCTTTTCCACTATTTATGTATTATCGCCGATCCCTGGTCCCGATCCGTGTGCGCTTTTGCCCGCGCCACGGCCACCACCGATCCCCGTTTTCCACGAACCTCGTGCCCGCCAGGGATGGCTGCCGCCCCATTCATAAAAACCGACTTACACTCGCGAGTCACGTAGCGACGAGCGGCGAGGATCGGTCTCCACGATTTCGATACGGCCGTCCACACAAGCACCGTTTCTTCTTCGCGACCTTATTATGCCGCGTCGGTTACACCTTTGATTTCTCATCCCCTTGACGCGTTCCTCGAACGATGCTCGAGCACCTCGAGGTTATCGTCGTTTTCTTTTTCGAAATTCACGGTGGATTGGACAGCGTTGCGTTGTGCAATTAACGATAGAATTATTCGATAATTTAAGGATTATCGATCGTTTCCCGCTTCGAAGGATGGAAACGATTTTCTACGCTCTTTGCACAAGATTGTTTAAAGGAAAGATGAATATGAATAATAATCCGTGGAGCGGAGAAGGGAAAAGGGAAAGATTTCAATAGATTTCAATATTTCGATTCTAATAAATCCAAACGTGAGAACGAGAATGAGAGCGCGAAAAATACGTAAAGCCATACGATGATGCTTCGAGTTTAAGATTGTTTACCTTAAGCGAGATATCGAACAGAAAGGGAGGATAACGCGAATTTTCTGAAACGTGTCCGAAAAGCACACGGCGGAGGCGATCGCGCCGAGATACGGCCGAGCAGAGATAATGGAAGCGCAGGTGCTCAAAGCTTTCTCGACGATAATCGACGAGAAATACCGACCGTGATTTCGGTCGGTTGGTTTAGGAAACCGTCCGCCTTATGCGAGACCCGTAGGCCAGTTTACCTACGATACGACGTACCTGCCCTCCAGTGATAAATTTCACCTCGCCTCTCGCACAGGTGGACAGGTGGATGCCAATTTCTCTCTCTCTTATTCTCTCTTCCCCTCTCCCTTTTTTTCTTTCCCCATCTTTTTTTTTTTTTTTTTTCGTTTCATTTCTATGGATCTCAGTGGCAGATCGACGAGATTACGAGAGCATTACGACCAACGTTTCTAATTAGACGCCATCTGACGCCATTTTTTTCTATCATCATTACATCGTCTTATCTCCGATCGGTTTCTTTCTTTCCGCTCCACGTTTCAATCCTCTCCAATATCGTTTATTATTTTATTCGAGAAATGTTTTTTTCCCTTTCTTCTTCTTTTTTTCTTTAACAAATTTCGGAAGCAAGGAGGACGTTACTCCTCTCGATCGACGGGGACAAAGAGTTGGAAGAAGGTCGGGCGAGCATTATTGTGACGGTGCGCGCCGTTGACGGGTGGTCGAATCGGTACGCGACGACGAGGCCGTGTCTCGATTCGACGAAAAAAGGCGAACACATCCTTGGCGGCGCTTATTATTCATAAGAAAGGCAAATTCTGAATAAATCATAGGAACGTCGATGGTGGTGGGGCGCTCGTGACGTCTAGAAACGCGATCGCGAATGCACGCCGTGTCTCGTTGCAGCAGGTGCGCATCTCCTCTCCTCGTCCACCGTTTGCAGCACGCGCTGTATCGCCAGCGACCACGTTTCCCAATTATCCTCCCGATCGATCGAAAAATCACTTCATCGATCAATTAACGAAATAACCTATTGAAAATAATTTCCGTAGGACGAGATTTGGATCTTCGTCCCCGAATCTTTTTTCCCCTCGAATTTATATATAAATCACTTTCCAAAATCCAATATCATAAAGTACTCAACTTCAATTCAACTAACTTTCCCCCGATACGAGACCCTTAGCTTCGATCGTCTTCGAATCTCGATCTCGATCTCGAAATGAATCGTGATCGATTAAAGAAAAAAAAAAAAAAAGAAAGGAAAGAAAGAAAGGAGGAGTGGGGGAGAAAAGGGATCCAGTTTGAAAGTGGATCGGCGCTTCGAGGTTGGTGGTTAGGTTCACGGAGGTCAGAGACTGTAGGTGATCTGGCCGGAGGGTACGAACCCGGGGCATGTAGGCCGGAAGTAACGTCACACCCGCGTGGCTCTGAATGCGCATACCGGATGTGTGGCATCGGCTCCCCATCAGAACCATCAACATCACATTCACAATTCTTGCACATCGCCGCCT